GCTCCTTTTACATTTTAGCTTACGTATTTGAGGGGGAACCCACTATCTTAAAAGGGATTTCTTCTTTGTGAAACTTCAAAGAGGATTAGGTAATGCAATTTTTCAACTGTGATATTCCAATTTCCAAATCATCAAAACTTATATTACTAAAAAATCTTTGAAATTTATTCATTTAAAACCCTAAAAAAGAGTACAGAGCAAAGATCCTGAATAAAAACTTTGCAAGCTTGTTGCAAAATACATCAACAACGCAATTTGTTTCTCAATTAACAAGCATAAAGTAGAAAAGATCAACTGATAAGATTAGGATAGATAAACTTTTTTCAAAGTGATTGCAATAAAGAAACTTAAACTGTTGTCTCAATGTAATCCAAGAGGGGGGTGGAGTTCCAAAAATTCTTTCCTTTTGCAACCACAAAACCAAAGTTAAAGAGAGTAGAGAAGAAGAGCTTGCACAATGAATTTATAAAGGTTCGGTCCAACCACCTGGAGTCTAATCATTTACCTTGACTTCACTCACCAAAAATTTACTCCACACTCTTCATTAAAAAAGACAAGGGTGGCTTAAAGGAGCCACTCAATTCTTTTACAAAAAGATGAATATTTCTCTCAAACCTCACCCCTTTACAATGTAAACCCCAAGAATGCTCTCAATAGATCACTCTTGAAAGAATAATCACACCCCTAAGAACATACACTAATAGAACAAGAAGAGGATTACAAGCAAAGATCACTCAAAGATAAAAAACTCAAGTTAAAGCTCAAGTAGGTAGGTAAAGATATTCAATGCAATGTTCTAAAGATTGTTCCAGATCTATTACCAACCATATTTATAGCACCTTACTCGAAAATAGTCGTTTCTAACCGTTGGGGGTCATTAAATGCTCTGCACGATGCATGGTTCGAGTTGCATAACTGTCAGCACAACCAGCTTAAGCTTCTAGAGCCAGCTCTATACAGCCAGCTTTATGGGTTTCCTGCATTTTGTTTCTTCGTAGAGCCAGTTTAAAAATTCTGTAGCCGGTTTTTCAGGTTTCCTACACATTCTGTTTTTTTACACAGCCAGTTGCAAAACGTAAAGCTGGCTTTGGTGTTCCGACTTTAAAAATATTAATAATTCTTCAAATAAATTGACCGTTGTGCATTAAATTCGCCCTTTCAGTCGGCTGCAAAGTTGAAGCCGGCTTTGCGTCTTTTCTCTGCGCACGCCAAACAACGAAATTTTAAGTTTTTACCCGTAGAGCCGACTGTAGCTTCCAGAGCTGGCTCTCTGCACTTTCACAACCGGCTGCAAGTTTTAACAGTGGGCTCTCTGCACATTTTTAAGTCTTTTGGTCCATGTTTAGTGCAGTCTAAGTTTATTTACTTGCAATCTTTTAGCAATTTAACTACACACTTAAATAAACCAATTAGTCACTCAAATGTGTTTTGTAATCATCAAAATCATAGGTACAACATAAACCTTGAGAAAATCTCCTTGTAGCCAACTCTAGGACTCAATATTTTGCTGATAATAAGCATTACTTCAATAATTCTGCTGCATTACAGAGCCATGAGAGTCCAACTCACTCAGACTGTGATGCCTTAAGGACATGGAATTGAGCTGTCATTACAGAATTAGTAAGCCCGCTACAAGGTGAAACACTTCTTGGTCTAAGAGAATCATTGTTAGCATTGCGTTCATCATGACTCTCAATCCTATGAACTGTCTTGCATGAAGATTGGCTCCTACTGTTAAGGCTATGTCGAGCTGGATAGGCACTTCAACTACCAGATAGGAGATAATTTAGTGATGAAAGAGGGCAAAAGAGAAGGCACAAGTTACTACCTTTCCTTTAGACTGGCCGTTGCTACTCTTCATTCCTCCCATGATACTTGTGGAGATCAGGACTGTGATCTGAGCACAATCATATATGTTCGACTATCCCTACTTCTTTTGCAACTTCTCTTATGCTCCTTATACCTATATTCTTCCTGATACCTGAAAATGTTGGTCCATCAGACACTGAAGTTAACTAGATTTCAAAAAAATAAGTCACATTCAGGATCAAAATCAATGCAACTTTTCAATCCTCAATTCATTCTCCACATTCATCTCTTTCATTCATTTTACATTTCCAATCACAGAATTTTAACCTATTTTGATTAGAATGCAATGTACAGTGTACAGCTTCCTTTAGCACTGACCAAACAATTTGAAAAATGTTTTCAGAGTCTCTTAGTCTTCTGTCATTTATAGGGATAGATAGACCCATCAAACATCAAGACATCGCTGTGCTTTACCAAAAAAACATCTGTAACATAACACAACTAGAAGTCCTTAGTGCCAACATTCGGAGGTATATATGAATAGTTTTACAATCTCTTTTACTAGGTCCAAACTTGGTTGAGTTGAGATCAAAACTTCCATATCATTTTATCAAAATCCAAAGATAAATTTTTCTAGATCAAAAGTTCACAAAGACAAAGTGATAAATCAAAAGGAAAATGTGTTGTATATTTTAGACTATATTAAACTGCACAATTATAATCATTGGATAAGGGGTGAGCTCCCTAATATTAAGAGCTCTTCCCCATTTATTGACAACCATTTAAAATTTCAAAATTATGAAAATGATGAAAAATTAAGTGTGAAAAATATAAAAATACAGAGTTGCCAATTATAAGGTACAAGAAATCACTTAAAATATGTCTATGCAAAGATCGAGGTTCAAGAGTTCAACTAAGAGTAAAAAAAGGCATACACGCATCTCACAATCTTCCGTGTAAATGCATCTCACAATCTTCCGTGTAAACATGGTTACATATTAACTTGGGGTCTTAATTCAACTTAAAAGTCAAATGGACAAATTGTAACATTTGAAACCCTTTGGACTAGATTAGACAAAATTGAGAACATGCATGCACAATTGCACCAAACTAAAAGTTAATTTGATAAAATTAGAATTCCAAAGAACTAATTTGAAATTATTTAAAAACTGATGGACTAAATTACTCAATTACAAAAATTTTAGGTAAAATTAAATAAAAGAAAGATAATTTTGATTTTAAGGAAAGTAAACAATTTTAAATTAGTTGAATAGTTAATTTAATATTAATTAAGATTAATTAAAATTAATTAATTTTATTAACAATACATTAAGTGGATTACCATAATCAATTTATTATTTACATTTTATTTTTATTTTTAGTGACTAAACCATAACATAACCCATCTATAACAATGGGTAAAAACAGATCAAATCTAAACAATAAATGAAAAGGGTAAATAGGGTTTTGTTGCAAAAAGCACACAACAAACTACAATACAAATGTAAATTTCTAAAGATGCCCAGTGACCACGCTTCTCATTTGAGAAATAAAGTGGGGGCATCTTGTTCTCAAGATCGAGCCTACTGCTCGACATTCCCCCTCTCTTTGAACGCATATTAATACTCTTAATGCAATTTCAATT